CCTCCCAAATATCTATTTTGGCTAATTTCTTGGCTTACTTATGAGACAAAGTTTCTAACAAAATAGTACTGATTTGGCAGCAAAATTCAGGGGTCAGTGGTAGGTATATACACGTATAAACATATATTTTCTTTTTAATGGGATGGAGGTGTCATCTGAACATGTAAATATGAGGAGAGAAGATATTTTTCTAGAAACTTGTTTTCAGGCAGAACTTATAAAGCAAAGAAGAAAGTTAGCCAGCACTGATGATACTGGATCAGGTTGCTCTTCAGGTTTGTGTGCTACAGTGTCAAAATTTATGCTAGGACATTGCTTTGTGTCTTTGAGGCATAACAATGAAAGCAAACTAAAATATGATGCAAAGTTTTTACAAGCTTTTTGCATTGCTTGTATGCACTGAGTCTGAATGCAAGTGAGGCAGCTCCCTGAAGCAAAATTAACATCAGAAAAGGACAATTTAAAAAAAAACCATTCATTTTTAGTCTTTCTGCTGTCCTTCATTTCTAGTACTTGTGGAAGCAAATTTGCATAACAGCAGACAATGATTTTGTGAATATATAGGAAGTGATGAAGGGTAAGATCATTGGGTGAAGTTCATAGTTTAGGCAATATGATCGACTTTATTGCATGGTTACTCTATTTTCTGCAGCTGGAAAAGAAAGTGGAGTCTTTAAACCGTGAAATAGAGGAGACCAGCTCTGAACTGGAGACGCTCCTTCAGAAGAGGGACAGAGAAAACCAAGAAGGAGGGAATTTGGTAGCCATGTTGAGATCTGATATAGAGCAGTCCAAGGATGAAAGGTTTGTACATCTTGGGTTACATAATGCTTAGTCAGGTTTTTTTGTTTCTTTGCTGGTTTTCTCACTTTTCATAAAGAAATCAGTAACTAGGCAAAATTAAGCCAGCTCAAATTAATAGCGTAGGATGATGATATATTGGTTTTATTTGCAAGGTTTTTTTGAGTTTTTTTTAGTTACCAACCTATGGTGATATAGAGAGCAAGATTTTTATTTTTATTTTTATTTTTTTTTCTTCTTCTTCTTCCTTTTTTTTTTTTGTGGTCTGATGGAGACTTTAGTGTTCTGGTGTTTCCACTGTCCGTAATCTTGGAAAAAGGTAGAAATGGAGAAAGCCTCTTGGTCACAGAAACCTTTCGTTGCAATGTGGATTGATTTGATATGTTATTGAAATGTGTGGGTTAGAGAAGCTGTCATGCTGAATAAGCTTCTAGAAGAATTCGCTCTCTCACCTTTAAGAAACTGGCTTACTGTTTTTCTTAAAACTAGAATGTTTTCATAATTATAATTTTTGTTGTCTACTTTGCCAGAACACCCCTAGTTATTTTGATGTTGCAGACACTACAGTAGTAAAAGTGTTCTCCCTGCTGGTGCTTCTACAGATGTGGAAGCCTGAAATGCTTGTGACTGCAGTATGATCTTTCCATCTAACTGTGGAGAAGACAAAGGTTTTTTTGCTGAGCCTGCTCTGTAAAAATGGCCTTGGTTTTTTTGTGAGTCATGTGAATCATCTTCACTGATAACTGTCAAACTATGGCAAGATACCCATTTTAGACTGTCAGTTTTTCAGTAGGTTCGAAGTGTCTTTTAAATCAAGTGCATGCAACTTTTGAAGTGTTCGATATACTTTTGTTCTAGGAAAAAACTGCAGGAATCTTACCAGCATCTTTTGAAATTGCTTATGGAGTTGGTGAAGGCTACAATAGCTATTGAGGACCTTATCTGTAGCAAGATTGGTCTTTGCCTTGATGATAGTCTGGCTTCTGGAGATTCTAGAGAAAGTCACAGTATTATGGAAGAAATGGGGTTCATGCAGTATTTCAAAGCCAAAGAAAAGCATCACCTAGAAAAAGGTGAGTACAAATGTGCATACCTGGATGTAGTCAATTCACGTTCTTGTAAAACACCTTTTCATTTCCTTTTATATGGATGAGGTTCAGAAAGGGGATATCTTTTGTTGCAGTGTTTTCTGTGTCTCTTTCAAAGTTGCTCCACACTTTAGAGAGTGTCTATCGGTGTTCTTTCATTTTAGTTCTTTTAATAGTGCAACTGCTAAAATGTTGCTGGAATAGGTTGAATGGATTATAGGACAGGAAAGATGAACTTGGTGAATGCGGAGTTTCAGGCCCCCATATAGTAGAATATTTCCAAATGTTGTGAAAGACTGTCTTGATTTATCAACATTGAGTTATTGATCTGTACAAGTTTTTTCACCTTGTAATACATCTTCAGGACCAACCAATGTCACTGTCTGATGTCAGTTGTTATCTTGAGTGGCCAGTTCTGTGTCTTTTTTTCTGTGTTTTTTAAATAGCTTGCTTGTTTTCAGTAGATGAGCTGCTTGATGGAACTCTCACAGAACATAACCAGCTGCCTCCAGTGACTGATGAGGGGTCTGAGTTGAGCCAATACTTATGTGAAAGTGTTTTTGCAAAGTCAGAATTGGTATGTGAAAATGAAGAAATGATACTGAAGATTGGTCATCGTTTGCGCACTGCAGTGGAGAGACTTCTGGAACTGGTTACAGAATCAACTAAACAAGTAAAACTTTTTAATCTGTATAGATGTATAATTATACTGAAAATGTGAAATCTGTTTTAAGGCTTGTCTATTTAGCACCCTGGAGGACTGGCTACTAAAAAGAAATATATTTTGTCCAAATACATGACAACTTAACAGCATAGGGAGGCATGTGCACCCGCTGCTTCTTACAATGAAGCAGGGGTTTTGCCCTTATTTGATCATTGTAAATGAGACTTTAATGACTTCTTTTTTCTTCTAGCAGATCCTGTAGGAAGGCTATAAGTTGTTTGCCTTAAGTAGATTTAAACTGGGGTTTTAGATGCATTTGGTAGTTTCAGGAGACCAAGAGTTAAGGGTTTTTCAGGGGCTTTTATCGCGCTTCACATCAATGCTTCTTCAACATTGATAAGGAGGTTCAGGAAAACTCAGTCCCATGTTGAAACGTTTTGGGAATATGTAGATAGCAGCAAGCAAACATCCTTGTAATTATATACTGGTTAACTGTGATAACAGGAGCTGAAGTCAATATCATAAAAGAATTTGAGTATTTCCATACTGAGTTTTGCAGTATCTAGACATTCAGCTTTGCAAAGAGAAGTTGTAAACTGAGGTAGATGCCTGAGTACTGTATACATTTAAAGGATTGAACTTAGCGCTACAGTAATTAGTTTGTTGAGTAAAAAAGCCCCTAATTTAAGAGAAAAGGTGAAGGGAAGGAATATATCTGAAATTCGTCTTCTCATCAGGTATTTTGTGCAACCCAGAGATAAGCATCTGTGTGAATGTATATTCACCATCTTAAAAAAAAAAAAAAAAATCCCTCCTAGAATGAGGTGCTTAAATTTGTACTTTTGGGTACTGATGCTGGTTCCACTAGCATGTAGCTAACTTGTGGTTAAAGCACTTGCATAGGCCGTGGTAGATCTAGATTTTTAGGTCACCTTCATCAGCTGCATTCAAGCATACTTTGCTTATGTCTCTGAAATGTTCTATCTACCAGGATAAGCTAAATGTAAACTAAATGGGAATGGGGCTGCTCTATTCCTTTCCTTTGAACTTCAGACATGGCATGTAGGAATGTAAGATACATAGTCTCAGAGAACTGGTGCCATACCTTGGAAACCTGAGGATGTATTGACTTCACTGTCTGTTAGACATGCCTGAATGTCTTGAAGAAGTGCAAGGATGCTTTGAATTTCAAGTAGCTCAGGAACTGTCAAGCTGAGCGGTTTAGCCAACAGGGAGGTATCTCATTTTATGCACAGAAAAGAAACTTATGTGCCTAAGTAAGATTTGTGGCAAAAATACAGATATGTGAGTACAGGGAGTCACCAAAGCATCCAGGGGTTTTGGGCAAAGTCAACCTAGTACTAAAATGAAACTTCAAAACCTGGATCTTAATGCATAAATGTTATAAAAAATTAAGAGGGTTTTTGTTTAAATGCCTGTAGTACTGTTACATTGCATGTGCATCCAAGATCTGATGCTAAGGGAAATTGTTTACTTTTAGCTGGAGAAAATGCATGAAAACCATGCGCAATTTGAGGAAGAATTCAGCCGCCGAAATCGGGAAACTGCCCAAGTGGTTAGTCAGCACCAAGAACTAATGGAGTGCCTCAGCGAGGAAAGTGAGGCCAAGAATCAGCTGGCATTAGAGCTTCATAAAGCAGAGGGTAAGAAAATGAAACCAATAGGAAGAGATTTCAGTGTCATTTACTCATAGCTTATTCCTCCAAATATCTATGATATGCTTTTTGTGTCTTTTTGTTGTTGATTTTGCCTGTCTATAATCCATTTTCTGCCTTTCACGTTACTAAGTTACCTGGAGCTTGGGTCTTCTCTTGCAAATCTACTACTTAACTCTCTTAAGCAGAATTGCGTTTCCCTGGGGTAAGTGTGATAGTGCTTAGTCCTGCGCTTGTTAGTGCAGGCATAAAGAGATTCTCTAAGAAGAGACAGGCTGAGGCTGTTGATCTCAACACTATCACAGACTGCATATGGTCAGTCTAATTCCCCCTTGTGAAGATTACGACTTGAGGTCTTCTTTATGTAGAAGAATGTTTGAGCGTGTCTGTGTCCTTAAAGTTGAGTTTGTCTCCCTAATCATGTCATCTGCTTTCCATTCCTCTTCTCAGTCATATTCCTTTAGGCTTATTTGGTTTTTCCAAAATCCTGTTTCCTTCCTTTCTGGATTTCTTGGGCTCTGACACTAACACTTGATCCTACTTTTTGAAGATTTTGTTTCTTTGAACTTCAGCCCCCAGCAGAGGATATGTCAGGCTGTCCTATGTGGTGAGGTGATCCCAGGCCATCAAGGCTTAAGAATCCCCATATACATTCCACGTGTTTGGATACATTTTGTGACATGTCAGCCTCATAAAATCTGTTAGAATACATTAACTGGTACATTTTATTCTTTAAGATACTTCAAAAAGCCTAGCTACAGTGTAAATTTAAGTCATCTTGTACATCTTCCTTTCTGTGTCACCTTCCATTGTTTGCATAAAGTTGTTCATTCATGTTTTCAAGCTGCTTTTTTCCAATAGATGAATTTGTCTACTGCTTTATTTGCATTCTGACTTGGGATTTTAGGCATTATTGAAGGCTATGTTGCAGAAAAAGCTGCTTTGGAAGAGGCCTTGAATATGAAAGAGGAATCTGAGCGTCGCCTTGTTGTGGAGCTGGAAAATATGCGCGAACGCTTCCAGGAGCTAACCCAGGAGCAAGCAATTCTTGGTGAGGAGTGTGTACGACACTATTAGTGGAAAATGAATTTGTCTGCAGTCAGGGCACACTGCAATGTGTTTCATTCTTTGGTTTGATGACCTAGATAGCAGCTCAGTCTGGCACAGAGATTAGCAGGGTCTTCCTGTAAAAGCAGAAAATAAAATAAAGCAGCTGGTTCTTTGCTTATGCGAAGATAGTACTGTTACTGAAGAGTACTGCTGTAGTCTTATGCTTAGTTAGAAATGGGAAGTGTCTGAGAAAGTAAGAGGCATGTATTAACTACAGGTAGTGAGTTGCAACAGATAATTAGCACCTAGTTAGTAACTGAAATGCTAGTTATTTGACACTGCAGTCAGAGAGAAGAGTTGGACCTTCAAGGCATTTGACTGCTTCCAGGGCTAAGAAGATAGCTTAATAATGAAGATATTAATGTTCCAGGAGTATTTTATAATGAAGATATAAAATACTCCTGGAAGATTATTTGAATTATTGAAATATGAAGAAGTTGTGGCGATGATGTGTGCTTAGTTTCATACATAAGCTTTTCCCCTGCTCTCCAGCCGTATCCTGTCAAAACATACACACGTGATCAGTAAGGGTGACTGTGGAAAGATTTTTATGATCAAGCTCAAAGTCTGTTTAGGTTTTCAAATGAAAGTACCTGGGTTGAAAAAGCTGAATGAGGGAGAGGATAAGGTGAGGCAAGTATCTTAAACTTTCATATAAAGGGTGACTCACTGCAAGCCAAAGACAGCCACTGAAATACCAAATCAAACTCAGATAATTACGTGCAAATAAGCAGTCTACATAACTCCTTCCCCTACTCCATCACTCCCTCAGCCCTACAAAGTATGTGATATGATGTAAGCTAACTACAGGGTGTAGGACAAAGGGAAACTATTCAACATTCTGGATGGAGTCTAGTAACATTCAATGAATGGAAGTTGGTACTGTGATAACTCACACTGCAAATGAAAGAGCATGCATTTTAACAGTGATAGCAGTGATTTAATAAAGACCCTGAAGAATCTCAATGGAATATAGCTGGCTTACATGTAAGATACTTTTTTTGATTCACGGAAGATTTGGAGTTGTTACGTGAGTTGTACTACATAGGAACTCAAGACTAGCTTATGCTTGTTCTTAATGATGAATCTATGAATCATTTAAATAGCATTATATAGTTTTGCCTTCTTGAATTTGCAGTCTTAATGTCATTCTAATACTTTTATAAGTGAATTTCTCTGTATCATTTTCTAGTAGAAATGTATCATTTGGGATCACTGCCTTTCATTTTTGCTAATGCCAACATTACACTACCCTCAGCTATGTTGCATAGATCTTTACTGCCTGAGCAGACTACATAACAGATAGTTGTACATAGTGCATGCTTAGGTCAGAAATAAAGACAGCAAGAAGCGGTTTTCTAGTGAATTTGTTCATTGTCAGTAGTAGAGGAATGTAAAGACTCTAGGTTTCAGGGTATCGACCCAAATTGTATAGGAGGGGGTGTGTTTGACTGGACACAGTCTGTATGTTGCAATTATCTGTCTGTTTCTTGGGAATCTCTGTTGTAGATTCCTGCCTGGCTTTCAGCCCTACTGTATTCCTCTGCAAGTCTTGTCTGCCTCTTGCCTTTCCCCACCTCATTTTCTCTTCTTCTCTTTACCTTGCTGCTCTTCACCTCTCTTTTGACTCTTGATTCTACCATTGTCCTGCTCTTGTGGGCTGCCATCCATCTGTGTTCTTCCTTTTGGTTCTGCACTCGACCTTTCAAATATAGTGCAATCAAAATACTCATACATAGAATCATAGAATGGTTTGGGTTGGAAGGAAAGGTCTTTAAAGGTCATCTAGTCCAACTGTCCTGCAATGAGCAGGGACATCTTCAACTAGAATAGAATAAAATCTTTCAGTTGGAAGGGATCTACAACTATCCTCTAGTCCAACTGCCTGACCACTTCAGGGCTGACTGAAAGTTAAAGCATGTTAAGGGCATTGTCCAAAGGCCTCTCAAACACAGACAGGCTTGGGGCATTGACCACCTCTCTAGGAAGCCCGTTCCAGTGTTTTGACCACCCTCTTGGTAAAGAAATGTTTCCTAATGTCCAGTCTAAACCTTCCATGGCACAGCTTTGAACCATTCCCATGTGTCCTATGACTGGATCCCAAGGAGAAGAGATCAGCACCTCCCTGTCTACGTCCCCTGCTCAGGAAGCTGTAGAGAGCAATGAGGTTGCCCCTCAGCCTCCTTTTCTCCAAACTAGACAAACCCAGATTCCTCAGCCACTCCTCATAGGACATGCCTTCCAGCCCTTTAACCAGCAACTAGATCAGGTTGCTCAGAGCACCATCCAACCTGACCTTGAATGTTTCCAGGGATGGGGCATCTACCACCTCTCTGGGCAATCTGTTCCAGTGTTTCACCACCCTCTTTGTAAAAAATTTCTTCCTTATGTGTAGTCTGAATCTATGCTCTTTTAGTTTAAAACCATTACCCCTTGTCCTGTTGCTACAGGCCCTACTAAAAAGTATAGTACATATATTAATATTAAAAGTTGTGTCCATCTCTGACCTCTCATATGACATCTTACTATCTTACTATTACTTTAAAAGGAAATTGAATAGTGGTCTCCTGCAGATTGTCCTCGTTTACAGAGTCTACGCTTGTTTGCGTTAGTGAGCAGAAGAAGAAGTGGGGGAAGACCTCTGTTCCTCAGGGGAAAGACAGCAGAACATAAACAGATTTAGGGGCTGTAACTGAAACTAAACGCATGTTGTGCTTGCTTTACAACAGTGAGTATGGCCTCGAGTAATATGTCCCACAGGAAATGCAAAATAATTCTATGATATTGTTGAACACAAGTATGTCTGTGTCATGGAAGCGTATGACAGATTACAGAGTCTGTAAGTCTGTGCTAGTGAGTTGCACTGGACTGAATCCTGCTTTGAATCCCCTGGCAGGAACTAAAATGGGGGGTTGAGGCATTAATTATTCCATCTTTGTCTGGGGAAAATTGCAAAAAGAGAATATTGATTGTCTCAGAAAATGCATAAGTGACTAGCTAAGAATGTTGCAACAAACTTGCATGGTTATAACGTAAACCCACTTCTATAGTAGCTTTAGTCCAGTTACAGACATGAATCAACATATGTCATCAGGAGCTTTGTGTCATAATAAAGATGGAGTGCATTTTTGCCAAATAAAAGGTAGGCACTGTCTGTATTACATGTGATTTTTTAGTGATTTAGAAGATGGAATGGATCACAATGTCCTATTCTTGTCTTGTATGTGTCTTTGTGTTTTGATTTCTAGGAACACCTATTGCTAATGTAGCACAAAAAGAAGGTTCAGGTTTGTAATGATGAGTGTGGGTTTCTTCTGGTTTGTGTTGCTGTAACACTGAGTAAATGAATTGATAGTTTTGATTTTATTTTACAAAGAGGAATAGTACTTCATAAATAAGCCCAAGAAAGTACTGGGATTATGAATATCTTGGCAAAAAAAAGTTTCAACTTCTGTGATGCATCAGAAATCAACTAAAACTAAGAATATTCAATTCACTGATCAATATTTAAAGAAAAAAAAATGGTTTACTGCTGGTAGGCTTAAAATACATTGTGCCATTATCTTTGTGTTTGCCAGCTTCATTTTTCTTTTGAGGGGATGGAGTGGGTCGTAAGCTTGCTGTGAGCTTCTAAGGATACACAGTGGGCTGTTAAAATGATTAAAGGGGGGGAAAAAAAGAAAAATATTTGACGTGATGTAAAATGGAGAGCTAAAAAAAATACAGCAAGAACTGAAGGAAGTCTAAGGGAGACTGGAGAAGTGTAGTTGAATGGATAGGTAGATCAGAAAAAAGAAGGGGAGAGCAGAATGGTAAGGAAGGCTAGTTATAGAAGAAAGATGAAACCAAAAACAAGCAAGAAGGATCCATAGAGTTTTACACTGACTTTGGAAGTCTAACGCTGAAGTAAAATTTGTAGGTGCCAAATTGAGAGAGGCATGTCTTCCCCCCCCCCCCCCCCCGCCCCCAAACTGGACAGAGACACCCAGACCACCCCCCCCCGCCCCCAAACTAAAGTGTGCGTACTTAACTCCTGAGTAGGAAAAATTTAGATCTGATAAATTCATAGCTGCCATGATTGTTTTGTGGTCTACTCAAAATATAATACTCTTAGCACGTTTTTAGATTAATTTTATTTATACACGCATATATATTCGTAGATGTGTTCTCTTGCACGTGCACTGTCTCTTGTTTTTAGACTTTTTCTTTTCCCTCAAAGGGTGTGAGTTGGGTAAACCAAGTCCCTCGGGTGAATAAAAAAGAATTATCTAGGTAAATTCCAGTTAGAGTTAAAAAGCTGCCCGGGGCTGTCTTGCCCATTAATATATCTTTATTCCTCCTGTCCATTCAGACCTCCTTCAAACACTATGTTTATTTAAGATATTTTTGGTAACCATCTCACTGTCCTGAAATTTGCTGCTGCCTGCTCAATGAGAGGGAAAGTTTAACGTAGCTGGTTAGAGTGTATTTGGGGATTGATATTCTCCCGGTTGCTACAGTCCAGCTCTTGCCAGCAGCTCATTAGAACTTGAACAGCTGCATTTGCTGCAAGTGCTGAACCCTAAAATTCACCCCCTTTCCCCCACCCCAGCCTGCAGTACTCTTCCTCTGGTTTGGAATTGTTTGTAGTGTGTGGAAAATATGATAAATAAAAATCATATTATTTGGAGTTGATTGACATGGCTTATTACTTGAAAAGCTGATGCCTCCTCCCTTTTTTGATGTGGAGTACTAATATGAGTAGAATGGCCTTGCTAATAAAATGCACCTAGAATGGAGCTTGGCATTTGCTAATGACGATCTTGGGAGTGGGGAGGAGTGTGCTGGGGCATTACCGAAGTGGAATTGCATGATTTGAATTAGCATTAATACATAGCAGGTTTGTCCCTACAAAGAAACAAATCTGTGATTTGATGACCTATTCATGTTGCTTGAAATTATATTTATACACTTGGGGAATGTGCGCTTAAAAAAATATTAAAAAAATTGCTCAAACATATTACACTTACTGAGATTGCCAAGATTTCATACCTGCTTTCTATTGAAACATTTTCAATTCCACGTAAAATCTGTTAGCTTAATTACTTTTTTCCATTCACTTGCATTTCTGTCTGAGGAGGTGACCATGACTGTTCATTTCAGTTTTATCTAATCAGTATTTTGTTCCTCAGAAAGCAACAGTGTTCCTTTTGAAGCTAAAAAGAAGCCATCAACTCGTTAATGATCATGTTTAGGATACAGAAGGAAAAATTCCTGTGCTTGTTTTCACAAAAGCGTCAGTTCTTTTCTCAGGGAATCAGTCTACATATGTGCCCTTCCTGTGTGTGCATGTATATCTGTACACACTATACCTTGCCCTCCTCTATGCACCTTGTATAAGCAAATACAATAGGTCCTATTTTATTCCCATCTCCTGCCTGGCAAAACACCGCGCTTGGTAAAAGATATTCTCTGTTATGCAGCTATAGCTGGGATTCAGTCTCCTAATGGGATTCAGACTCGTAGGCTTTTTTCTGGACTGTGTGTTTCAGCGTTGGATAACTTGCTGTGTTGCATCTCATGATGGCAGGAGGCTGTTACAGCTCCAAGTGGGTTGTGAGAGAAATTGCTTTGGGGGAGGCTCGTCATTCACCTGTATGCATTCTGCCAGAGCCTGAGTTACACCCACAACTCAATGAAAATTTGATTGGGAAACTTGAAGCTTAGTTTACATGATTATTTAGCACTGTGTTAGAAAAAGTAGGGAGCGTGGCACAGTGATTGCACAGTTGTTATTAGGTAGGCATCTAAGATACTGCTCTTGGTAATTGTGAGTTTGCAAAATTACTGCTTGGAGTGAAATGTAGTTGGAATGTAGTTGTGAATTATCACTCAAAGGCAGAAAGTACTTGCCAGGACTAGAGTTTTTTGAGATATGTAGTCCATGTGTATATCTCCAACAGTTCCTCAAAGTCCTTTATTAATCCTGTGATTTGTTTTTATCGGCCAATAGTAAACTTAAAATGGCAGAAGTCTGGTGCCAGTGTACCTGTGTGTAAGGGAGGGCAGGGCTCTTAACACATTGTCTAGAGTGACTGCAAAACAGAATTTTTTTCCTTCAGCTGGTGTATGTCATGCTCTCACATTGGCAATGTATGCTGTGCATCTCGAAGAATTCAAGTGAGTGATAACAATTTTGTGTCCATTTCATTTGGTTTCAAAAGCTGCCATGGGTGCTTAGCAAATCTGACAAATGATTAAAGAATCTTATATAGTTCCATGTCTACTAAGTTTTCTTTTGCTCAGTTAACCTCTTAGTTTTATCTTGCATATTTTAATATTGTCTTAATGCAGAGAAAGTATAGTTGCTACAGTAGGAGACCAAGGTGACTAAACCATGGAATCACAGGGTTGCTGTGGACCTTGAGAGCTCCTATTTTTGTCCCAAAACAGAATCTACTTTACATGTTTCTTTGTCCAGCCTCTTTAATTTCCAGAGACAGAGACTTCACAGTCCCTGCACACTCTTTTCCATTACCTTACTGCAGTGACATTTTCCCCAATGTTTAATGTAAATGCTATTGTATCATTCTAACCTTGTGACACCTATCCTCTTAAGTATGAACATAGAAATGCTCATGTTTCTTGGCTTATTTTAAAGTGTCTGGAACTTTAATTAAATACCTGTGGACAGTGAAGCACTAGAAAAGATGTTGTAAGGAGGCTGTGGTATCACGTTTGTTTTCAAACGTTTGTTACAGCAACTTAAAATGTTAGGTCAGAAATCATGTGGATTGAGTTGATCATGCTTGGAAAAGAGAGTTGTCCCATTCTGGGAACTGGGCTGGACGACCAGTTAAGGTCCTTGTTGGAATCATAGATTTACCTTTTTCTCTCTGACTGAAAACAATTCAGATGAATAATGGGACATTTGAAAAGTAAAATAATGAGCTCTTGTGGGACCTTGCTTTAAATACTAAATAGCCAGACTTCTATTTTTGTGTTCATGTTACTTTTTAGCTATATTCACATTAAAATAGTTTTGCTGCAAGTGCATTCACAGTAGAGTCTCAGTTTGGGTGTCCTAAACAGTGTATTCAGTGCATCCAACTGATTGAAAATGCAGTTTGTAGGTATAAATTAGCTCTTCATAACTTAAATAATCTTGAGCTATGTACATTTTCATAGTTGTGGTATTTCTTTTGCAGTCTGTACATCGGGCAAATATGTGCCATCTTTTTTTTCAGGTGTTTCTTCTCTTTGTAGCCTCAGAACTGTAAGCGTGATTTTTCTCTGGGTTTTAATCCCTTCTCAGGTTCGGAGAAAAAGATTAACTTTGCTGTCTCATAGCAGCTAGCTTCAGGGTAAGACTGGGCACTGGTGGCCCTGGTTCCAAAAAATGGACTGGGTGCTAAAGCAACAGTGTAGGCATCAGCAGCAGCGTCCAGCATGGCATGAGGCAGAGGAGTAATTGAGAGGCTGACCTGAGATTGGATATTGGAGATCTAAGGAGAATCTTGGCATGACAGTTTGGAGGAATTGAGAATTTGGTATTGGATGGCCTGATTGGGAAGAGATTTGAAGTAGAGTGGGAAGTTGGGGTGAAAGTGGTGGCAAGGATTTAGGATAGAGTAGTGAAGGATGGGGCAGTTGGAAGGCTGGGTATGAGAGACTAGGTGAAAAGTGGGGTATGGGGCTTAAACTCAGGGATGGAGCAGATCTGGGATGGAGTGAATTTGGAGGATTGAGGATCTGGTGTGGTTTGGAAAGAGCCTCTGGGACAGGAGGAGTGTGGAACTCGGGTTGACAGGGCAAGGACCTAAGGAGGGAATTTGAAGGACACCTGGTCAGGTGAGGTGGGGCTCCCTGGAATTGTGAGGTCTCCGGGGGTGAAGGTGAAAGATTTCTATGTCCCCAGAATACTTCCAACCAGGATTTACTTTGGGATTGAGAACAGATGCCTATGTCCTCCTTTACTACATCATATGGTAGTCTTAATAGACATGGCTTTCAGAGACACAATGGGCAGTCAAGAATCACACTTCCTTTTGTCTCTTACAGACCATCTCAGGAGATTTTTCTTTCATTTTGATGCTGTCTAAAATACTTGAATTTAATCTCATCTTAAACTCAATTTGATTTTTGTACCCTGCACTAAAAACTCTGTTGTTATTTTTGTGTTCTTGTTCAGGTCTACTCAAGGAAGTAGAATTTTTAGCAAAGGAGAAATTAGAGCTTCAATGTCAGGCAGAAAAGGACCATTCCAACTTACGCTCTCAAATGAAAGTTTTGGAGGTGGAACTGGAAGAGCAGCTGCATAGTAATCAAGACCTGGCTACACAGTTATTGGAAGTTGCTGAATTAAAACAGCAAATTCAAGTTCTTGAAAAACAGCTTAAAAACCAGCGGCAATTCATGGATGTAAGCAAGCTTGGTGCCACATTTCCATGGTTTTGGAGGTGATAAATACTCCTAGTTTGACTGAGACTTGGAAGATGGTTCCTAAAATGGGATACTTTTCTGTTTTGCTTGAAATTAACACCTTGGTATTCTAGTCTTGTAAAAGAAAAAAAAGGCAGTTCTATAATTCCCTTTCTGTAGTATTACAGGACAATTTTTTCCTTTTTATTAATTGCTAATTGTAGTTTGTATGTACATTGGAGTCAAAAAGTTGTTTGTTTGTTTGTTTTTTCTTTCCCTGTAATTATAGCTGTGCTTTCAGGACTACTAAAAGGTGTTAATTATTTTTAAGTGAGCATAGTTTCTTCACCACAAAAACAAACTTCAAATTTTTTTTGTACTCAATATTTTAATGAAATACAAAGTTTCTTAAAAAAAGATTTTCATTATCTGTGGCTGGATTTACAGGAACAAGCTATAGAAAGGGAACACGAACGTTTTTTTTCTAGAAGAACAGTTAAAACTTTCAGCAAAATCACAGACTTCAGGAGAGCCCAGAGAGTTTAGGGTGAGTAAAATCACACTTAGTGCCCAAAGGAGTTTGTTTACTACAATTAAATACCAAAACCTGTGTTATCTTGGGGGACTGGCTCTTGAGAGGTGCTTTTTTTTTTTTGCTTTTTTTTTTTGCCTTTTTTTTTTTTTCCTTCCCCCCCTCCGATGTCAGCCAGAGAGCAGACTTTTCCCCAGCTGGCTGGACTACATTTAGGCAGTGAGAGTGTACTTGCATTATTTCTTATGGAAATGGAAAGAAATGATGTATGTGCATTACAGTAAAGTTTCACAGCCTATGAGTCTGGAGGAGGACAACAGCCTGTTAGCTGAGGAGGACAGCAATACAGACACTCTGCTCTACAGAGCACACCTGAGGGATGACTTCTGGGTTCTAAACATATTTAATTTTTCCAGCTATACAAGTTGTAAGAAGAGGTGTTCTTTGTTTGCATGCCTTGTCCTACTGAATTTTATAAATCACTTCTTTTTTTCACATGTTCATTTGTTTGATGCTTGGTTTCAAAGATTAACTTTTTTTTTTCTCCCCCCCCAATGAACATTATACAGAACTATGAATTGATTCTACAGGTACGGAAAACAGCATGAATGTCTCTTTAACCCTTCTTTCCTTTTCCTTTCAATCCCTTCCATTAATTAGATCTGCTTTGGCTTTTTTCCTGGTTTTGATATGTCAGGTCTGCTTCAGCTTGACTTGGAGATAAGGATATGTGTTTTAGGGTGGCAGAATTCTTGCAGGGGGTGAGGAACTGCTTTCAATTTAATTTCCTGTACATAAGTGCTTCATTCTCCTGGCTTATTGCTCAGATGCGTTACAGGCAGTCACTTACTGTAAAAGAGCTTTCTGGCATGAAAGGAGAGGTTAAGGTTTGGAGTATGAAACAGAGATAATGGAATTATGATGAACACTGTGCCTTAGCCTTCAGCTTTTGTTTGTGGCCCTGCTCTTAACAAAACTTCAGTGTATATACTACTTAATTTTAATTCCATCTATTCATTTATGTACAGTTTATGAAATTGTGTACCTCAGTGTTAGAGAAACAAATCTTGTAGGAACAACCGAATCTTTGACAGAGTGAATTTTCCATGCTGGAAGGCACCTGGTTGTCACTTGCCTTCTGTAACCTCTGATAGGGCTTCATTAGGCTTCTTAAGAAGTAGAGTGATTACATATCATTCTGCATCAGTCTTGGCTTCTCATTTGCATGATTGCTATTACCTGGCATTAAGATTTTCTGAGTACATCACACACATAGCCTACGTGTTAGTTAGACTGTGGCAAAGATTTTTGTTTCGAAGGCCATGTGACTTGTTGAAATCTGTTTGTACCCAGAAGGTTTTCCCTAAATCTTGGGCATACAGAGTCATAAAGGATATATGTCAGGTTATTGAAAATATGTCCAACTGTTAAGACCACAGCTTGTTCTCTATCCAAGATGTTAGATGGATGACAGTTAGTTACTATTTACTAGTGTCCTTGTGGCTTAGTGAAGAGGAAGATCTCAAAAAATGAAGACTAACCGCTGTAACTTTGCAACCTCTCTCAGAAAGGATTAAAACTTAATTGGAGAAAGGCACACAAGGAAGTTAACTCAGCAAGTGACATTTGTGGGTAGGGTGAGGTACGCATGCAATCTGTACCAAAATAAATTGTCAGGATTTAGACAGTACTTGTACAGTTGTTTAATGCAGCTTAATGTCGGTAACTGCTTAACTCACTCCGAAACAATTTAGTTCACCTGAACTTCTAATTTCTGCATGTAGGAGTTACAACAAGTTCATAGTTGTTCTCTCTGCTGTTCTCTTGGCTCAAGTGTGTGGGATTATTTTTTTGAAAAGAGTGCTGACTGGTACTGGAAGCTACCATCTGAGAGTATGCCATGAGGGTGAAGGTTATGAAGGTGTTTCCTTAGCTACAGAATTACAGCACTAGCTTTCTAGCAACATGGTGTTAAAAAACACGTTTTTCACATATAAAGTGTCATAGTGTCTGGGATTCCGATGCCAAAATTTTATAGCATTAGAAAGTATGAGACTTCTAAAAGATTTTTCTATACCGAAAAGCTCTGCTGTAATGCCTGGGTTATGCTTAACAGTTACTTAATTGCTGATGAGATGAGAAGGGAATAAGATATATACATAATTAAGGAAATGTATATTTTCAACTGCTTACAGGCACATATAATGTTAATCACTTTTGGTATTCTTACCTACTCTGTGATGCCCTCCATGCTTATTAATGTGACTAAATTAACTCTATTCTGTAATTTGCTAGAGGGTGTTTTTCTGCTTTAGTAATAGCTATACAATACTTTGAAGATTAATACAAAGAATTTTTATTTTATAATATTGAAGTGGAATTTGCATAAATGCAGACACTTACTGATGAACAAAGCATTTATTTTGTAAAATCTTGTCTTCCTTGCTCATTGGTATCGACCAAATCATTTCTCCTTTAGAAGGTTTCCCATTGCTTTCCTATTTGATCTTGCTTTCAGTGTGCTTAATGACTTTATCACTTCTGATGTAATCTGTCACACTTGGTTCTCTCCTGCCTCTGTTACCCACCAAAGCTCCTAGCTTTGCCTTCATGTTAATTACTGGGATGAATGAGTGACTTTTCCTGCAGCTCTGTGCATGATTGGATCTCAGTGAGCTCAAATGCAAAATTGTTATCTTCATATTTAAGCTATTTTTGGAAAAAGAGTGCCTGTTCTATGTTGACTACTGTGAATCTCTCAGATTTGCAGGTGTTGAATATGTTACATTGTATATTTATCTTTCAATTCTTGGTATCTTCCTTTAACCTGGAATTCCTTGAAGTAATGGAAGAGGGTTCTGAGGTTACAGAAATACATCTAATGCTATTAGTAATAATTCATGTAATTTGGGGGGGGTTTAATCTTAAACAAACAAACAAAAAAAGAAACCCAACAACCCCCACACACACCCACCACAAGGCCCCTTTTGATAACCACTGGGCCTTGAGAGTATGCCTTCATCCAGCACTTTGCTAGAATACTGCAAATATTAAGAGAGTAATCAAATGTATATTTAAGAGCTGCTGCATTTGGAAAACAAGATTTGAGAAAGTTACTTTTTCATCCTTCCTGTCCACATCTAGTTTTACTTTCATCTGGGATTTTAACATAGTTTAGTCCATAGTAAAACTCCACCTGCTTTGCCATGAAATGACTCTTGCTTCCAATTGGAAGTTTTTGTTATATTACCTGAATATCTGTATAATGTGATTTCTGTATAGGTAGAGTCTTTGCAAGCAGAAATAAAAGAGAAGATGGATGATTACAATAAGCTGTTATTAGAAAAGGAGCAAAAGCACCAAGAAATTACAGTTCGTGATAAAGAGATAGAAAAACTGGCAGCACAAGTACAAGAACTGGAGCACAGTGGTACTGAAGTCTCAAAGACTGTATGCTACTTGGAACAACAACTGCAAAAAATGAAGAAAGTGGAAACCGAACTAAAACAAGTAATTTTTAAATACTTATTTAAATGGGAGTGGCATTATGCAGTGTCATCAATGACTGTTTAAAAGTGTTGTTTGAGACTATCCCTGGCACCTATTGGTGAGTTAAACTGTTGTATTAATGGCAGGCATTGCAGCCACAGTTTTAAACAAACTCTGGTTTTACAAACTGTAAGCCTACTTACTATAGAGACTGCTTTTTTGACAGTTGTCATGTTTGCATGGATCAGAGCTGCTCTTTTGCTTCTCTGGAAGTTCCTGAGAAGATAGCGTTACTGGATATTAAACATCGTGAGTCTTCAATAAATAATGTGTTTAAAATCATATTGTCTTAATTGGTAGCTCTTCTTGCTATGTGCCTTTGGAGCCAGATCTGTTTGTCATATTCCAACATTTCTAGTGCTTTGTTACTACTGCAGGTTGAATGACAGCTTAGAGTAAAGAATTATATTCCATTTAGCAAAAGTATTTGTCTTTAACCAAACATCTGACTAACCTTTTCTACTTTCTTATATTAAATGTTTCAGTTTCCTCCTGGCAGTTTTCCTTGTTTAAGTATTGTTGGGGTGTTTGTCAAGTTTGAAGATTTGAGGATGGCATGATCTAGACTAAACTTATTAGTTTAATTGCTAATTCTGTAAATATTTGCTTCCATTATTTTTCATTTTAATATTGAACAAAATATTTTTTTGTTCCAGCTTCAGCTAATGCGGCATAGACTAGCCAGTCTTAGCTTATTAGGTACTATTATTCCTATTTATTTGGCGCTTGCGAGATTGCATCTGGAAAACTGCTTGGTTTTAGAATCCCATGTACAAGAAAGACATTGGCATACTGGAGCAAGTCTAGCAAAGGACCATCAAGATGGTCAGGGGGCTGGAGCAAATGATTTTTGAGGGGAGGCTGAGAGAACAGGGTGTGTTTAGCTTTGTGGAGATCTTATTATTGCCTACAACCACATAATATGACGTTATAGAGAAGATGGAGTCAGACTTGGAGGTACACAGTGAAAGGATGCAACAAGGGAAATACCAATTAAATGGTAGGGGGAAATGGTTATATTGGGGGCAGCCAAGTGTTGAAAAAGGGGCTCAGAGTGGCAGTGGTATCTCTGTGACTTGGAGATGTTGAGAATTCAGCTGGCTGAAGCCCTGAACAGAGCCAAGTTGGTTCTGGTTTGAGTCAGAAGTGGGACCAGAGAGCTCTAGAGACCCTTCCCAGCTTAAGCTATTCTGTGATTTTATCCAAACATACAAAAGCTGTGCCCATTAGCTTTCTTGCCTTGGAGTAGATGGAGACTGTGATACTGCTGTTGGCAAGTTGCTCGTCTTTGAAATCTTAGCTTTCTGTTAAACAGGCTTTCTTTATCCATACGATTTCAAAATATTCTTTTAGCTGTCTGAATGTCCCAGGAAATTGGTCTTTCTTAAAAATCCTAAATAAGCCAAATTCAGACTTTTTTTTTTTCTTTTTTTCCAAGAAACTAATTCATCAGCTTTAAACAAGGTTATACTATCCAGTTTGCTAACTGTAGGCATTGTAATAGCTTGTGTTGAAGCAATTTTGTGCAGTAAATAAGTGCTAATGGAGCTCTAAGAATGATTGCACGTCACGAAATTTTTCTGCAAAAATACACTTGATGTGAATGATGATTACAGATTTTTATTGTCCCCCAAATTTCAACATAGGAAAAATGTAGGTATTGCAGATAATGGAGGCTAGCCCTAATAAGAAATAGGTCTGGAAAGAGTAATTTTGAATATGGAATGGTATCTTTTTGTGAAGAATACTGACTAAACTTAACAGCTAGCAGATCCATTTATCCTGCTGTCATGTGCATGGAGCAGGTCTTTGTTTTTTCCTGGTCCAATTTCTTTCAGTTGTTCCGATTTGTTGATATGTAACATTGACACTTCTTGTTAGGGTTGTGCTGGAAGGATTGCTCATCCTTTGGCTTGAGGTCTTGAAAATGGGGCTCATTGAGGGAGTCTGCTATCCTATGGTATTTGGTATCAGTGAAAGAAGATGCCACATTAGACTACATCTGCATGGGCATCCAGAAGAAGGTTTTACAGTGCAGGTGCATTACATAAAGCTTTGTCTTTTGCCTGGATTGCCACTTGTTTTTGCTGGGTCACTGTAGCAACCTCAGAACATAGCAACTGGAGAATGCTAGGAGAAACTTAACTCTTGTGTGCAAAGCTGTGCTGATACCATGAGGTACGGCACACTTGCAGCTCTGCTGTCTAGTAAATGCAGGAACATCTGAGGTAAGGCAGCCCAGTTCTGCAGGAATCTGGATTTGCACATTGTTACTGAAGGTTTTTTTGTCAGTGATCAAGATGAACTTTAAAATAGTGCAGGTAACATCTTATTTTTAGTTGATATAGAACAAAAAAAGACTCTGTTGTTGCTTGGGTTTCGTTGTTATGTGTGTCTTTTCATATACAGCAGCAGGACACCTGAGAGGCTGGTTAATATCATAGGTTTCTTGTGATGGCAAGAAGAGTTTTCATTTTTCTCTTCAGGACAAACAAAAATATTTCTGAGATAGGTGCTTTCCTAACCAAAAAAGTGCAGGTGATGCTGTCATAATTATTACATTTGGTTTTTATCCTGCCAGTGATATTAGGCATGAACGACACAGCTTTATACCCTAACTGGCTGTCTCCCCTATAATTTCCTTTCCTCTTGTGTGCTGCGTGTGCCTGGACTGCCCCCAGAGCTGGCGAGAAAGCCATCGGGGACTGGCTGGGGGCTAGTGGGTGGAAATCAGTTAGCCTATTTAGTGTGAACCTTAACTGTTTTAAATAGTTGCTCTTGGGTATGCTGTTTTGGTACTGCAATACAGTGTTAACTTTGTAATTTATTTTTTATTTTTTAATCGATGCTTGTTTCATTTTAAGCTCAGAAGATGCTGTCCATGTACTCTGGGTCTTAGTTCTTTTTGATTAGAGAAAAGATGGTCAAATTTTGCGTAGTTTTCTGGCAAATCATATGATGAGTCTAAAATAACCCTTCTGTTAAAGGTATGTGTATTGACCTATGGGCAGAGTAAGTGTTGCGAACAGCAGAGGCAGTTACTGCCTTAAGTTTCTTGCCCAGCCTTCCTTTATTGTATTAAGTACAGATATGTAGGCCTGCTGTTTGGACAACTTCCCAAGTGAAGCTTTTCTCCTTGGACTGACCCAGCAGCTGAGAAAGAGGACCAAAGGAGAAGTTTTTAAATAAATAAATAAAACTATGGTAGCTTGATAGACCACAGATCTGACAGGAACTTAGTGCTGGTGCTTCACAGTCTGACTTAACATGTTTTTGTAGTAGGCTTTTGATCTACCCAAAACTCTTCATCTCTTAAATGAAATTAAGTCTCCACCTCTTAAATTTGGCATGGCAAATATATGGTATCGTAATAAATTTGGAAATGGCTACAAGAACAAGATGTTTAGGTTATTAGATATATAAAGCGCTGTGTAATTGAGAAAGTATAATATATCACTGAATGATAAATTTTCAGAAGTTGTTAAACATGGGTTAGAAAAAATAAAGGGGTAAAAACTTTAGTGAACTAAAAACATTCAGTTGTTTTGAATTCCTGTTTCTTTATAGGCCATTGGGATTATGTACTTTTCTTCTTATACTGGGGTTTGTCAGCGGTGATGAAGTATTTTGGCAGGATTGTTCTGGCTAGGTGGGTACGTATATTGACAAAAATTAATTCTAACATTAAAAAAAAATTTTTTTACAGGATAAAGAGGCATTGCAACAGCAACAGTACAATAACCTGATTCAGATCTCTACCCTACAGTCTAAATTGGATGAAGCAAGGCACAGAGTACCAGCAGATGGCAGTTCTGCCCCAGTGCTGAAGGAGAAGTTACAGGCAGAGCAGGAAGCACTTCAGACCAAAGAGAGAGAGGTAAGAGTTTTGGTAGGGTCCTGGAGACTTCCAAGTCACTCACGTAATTGCAGAAACATTTTGTGCAAACTTGTGACTGGGAATTTAAGTAATTCAAAAACCCAGTGACTAATGCTGTAGTAAAAGTGCCTTCTTACCAAGTACTCTCTATGCTTTGGTGTTAACTAACCTTCCTTTTTCTTGCTTTGTTCTTTTTTCTCATCCCCCTGTCCATCTGTCTCCCCTCCCACTGGAAACTGTCTTGTGATGATTCACGTCAGCTTTGGGACTGGTTGATCAATATCTGTTGTAAACTGATTTTCCTTTCCAAAGTTGAAGTGGAGTAGAAGGTAGATTTTTTTTTTTTTTTTTTTTGACTTAGAGAGTGCGATAATTCCTTTAAGAACAGAAAGGACAATTACCCATAATGGTGTCATCTGACCTTCTCTATTTTGTGAGCCAGAGAACGTTAGCAATGAGTTCTTGTGCCAAGCTAAGCTTAAACACAGTGTAATTGGTCACATTATTTAGAACTTTTATTGGATTTACACACACAGATATATACACACACACCCCTTGCTGTATGTTTATGTGATATTACATAATTATTATAGTATCTGTAATATACAAACATACAGTCCAGTTTAGGATGTGCAAAGAAGAAAAACATGGGTGATCCTCCAGTTAATTGTACACCATTGTTTCAAGAGCAGTAAGATAATAAAAACTAATTTCTTACAGATGGAAGTTCTGTGTCTGTTAGGAAGGCTGACTTCAGGAGCCTCTAAGCCTTTTTCATTCTCAAAGACCCTATACCTAGCTACCCGTTAACGCAAGAGATGGTGAAACCTGTGGGTGGCAAGATCACAGCGTTTCCAAATAGCTCTTTGCTGTCAAGCTTTCAAACAGCTACAGAGAAATGTGTAGTTATTGACTCTCTTGAGGGTTGAAGGAGTCAATGCTCTTTTGATTGGTGTGTTGCTGGGATTAGCACTGCGGTGCTAATTCCTGTCTTCTAGGAGGAGGAAAATGGCGATTGTGTTAACTGCTTGTGATTACATTAGACATCAAATGCTAATGTCTTCTATTGTTATGTCAAATAACATCAGTGGTCAAGGCTTGATTATTCAGAACATAGATTAACATATATTTTATAAGCAGTTAGATTTTTATTTATTTATTTATTTATTTTTAAAGAAGATGGAGAACCACCTTTGCAGTACTTTGGTTTTGCAGCTGAGGAGCTGGAACACTAGCTTCTTACTCTCTTTCTATGCCTCAAGTATTTTATTAATGCAAACTAATTAGAGTTTAAATCATAGAATTTGCTGAAGTTACTTGCTCTCAGTAAGTAAGGCGATGAATGAAGTTCTATCTTTCCTGCTTAAATAAGAGGACCTAGTTGAGAGAACTATGCATTTTCTTCTTTTTTTTTAGATTGCAAGCTTGTTAGACCAACTAGAACAATATAAAGATAATTTGATCAGTAAAAATGAGGAGATACTGCAGCTGAACTTGCAGTTAGAGATGCAAAAAAACCTTAGTACTTCCAGCATCAGCCAGCTTCAGTTAGAGAACACACACTTAAAGGTAGGTTTTCTTAGCTTTAGTGTGTACCAGCTAAAACTTCAGAGATCTCCTTTCTTGAGTGTTGTGGTCTTCATCTTGTGATGTTATAAACAGATACTTAGTTTGTTTCTCTTGTCAAGGAAATATTGTAGTACTGTTAGAAGTACTGCAATGCTAATAATGCTGGCTATCATGGAGTGACACCCCCCCATACTCCAGATTCATGCTTATGGCATTATCTTCTATAGTTATTTGATTTAAATAAAAAACTTAACTTTTTTCTAGCCTTGACAGATTATGAACTACAGTGTTGTCATTTAGTAAACACTACACAGTTTTCTGTCCATTCCTGACCTCTACAGTCATAGCAAATGTTACAAGTTAGAAAACTGGTTGGTTGTCAGTCTGGCAAGTAGAGAGTTCATCTTTTACCTTGAAAATTGAGAAATGTTGTGGGAATCTAATCCAGTGGTACAAATCTAAACAATTTAGCTGTAGTTGTGTTCTTGTAGTTGTGTTCTCCTTACTTTAACATTATAGTAAGGAGGAGAATGTTTAAATAAAGCCCTTAGTTCTGTGCTGCCATTAGGCTGGGAGACAAAGTCAGTCCTTTCTAATGAGGTTGCTGTTTTTTCTGATCAGGAGGATCTAACAAAACTTCATGTGAAGCAAAATCAGGACTTGGGTATTAGTGATTCCTCAGCTTTGTCATTCCCACAAGCACTGCTTAAAGAAAAGAATCAAGAAATTGATCACTTGAATGAGCAGATCAAGAGGCTCCAGCATGTGCTAGAAAATACTCTGGAGAATGAAGTAAGAGTACTTACTATATGTTCATTGCTTGATTTTGAGGAAAGCAAGGTATACAGAATCTTATTGTAAATGAAATCTGTTTGATAATTCTCTTAGGAAAGTACAGAGTATTCTGAGTGGCTACCAGCTGAAGTGTGCAGTACTTCCTGCTGTTAAATGTGTGACTTAATGCCTGTGTGATTCAGAAGAAAAATGTAATTTAAACTCTATGTGCAATAGTAATTCTGCCTATGTACAGTAATATTCAGACCTTATCTTTTTGCTCAGGTTGTGGAAGACCAAAAAGCCGAAATTGAAGAACTCAGATCACTTGTTGAGCACCTTCGTGGTGACCAGGAAAGGCTGCGTAAGGACAAAGATGAGGAGGTAGAGCAACTCCATGGAGTAATTGAAAAGCTTCAAAAAGAGCTGGCACAATTTGGACCAGTATGTCATGAAGTTAGTGATAACCAAGACGATCTTTATCAACTTGCATTGGGAAAGCCAGTGGAAAACCTTCAGAATGAGTTGAAGAAGGGACTGGTAGATTGTCAGGGTGATATTGATCCAAACGGAAGAAACGCGTTGCTACTCTCCAAAGTGAGAGAACTTCAGGAGGAACTAGAGCTTGTCTCAACTGCTAGAGAAGCTCTGCAGCAGCAACTGGAAGAGAAGGAATCGCGGTTCAAAATGGAAGTGGAAATTTTGGAGAAAAAATGCCAAAAATTACCAGAGTCATCAGAGCAGCACATTGCAGAGCTGACCTCTCTGAGAATACGGTACGATGCACTTCAGGAAGAGTACAGCCTTTTCCAAAATCATTTTTCTCAGAGAGAGGTTGAAGCAAGGAGGATGGCTTCTCGCATTCAAGAACTTGAAGATACTGTGAGAGAAAGGGAAGCAAATATTCTAGAGAAAGATATGCAAGTGAAGACAATGGCAGATCAAAGAGAAGCTGATATAAGCAAGTTGCAGTACTTAACAAAAAAGGCAGCAGAGCTTCAAACGGAGTTGGAAAAGAGAGATGCAAGTGAGGCTCAAGATGTTTATAGTCTTCAGTTAGAAGTTTCTAGACTTGGCTTCCAGGTGCAAGCACTGAATCAGAAAGAAGTAGCTTATCAGAGAGAAATCAATGAACTGCAAGGTAGCACTGCAAAACTGAAAGATCAAATTGAGGCATATGTGGAAGCGCTTGAAGGTTTACAATTGGAAAGAGGTGAACTTATTTCACAGTTGGAGTCGTACAAGCCAAAGGAGCAATGTGATCATGAAGAGACTAACCTTCTCAAGCCATTTTGCCAGAGAGAAAGAAAAAGTGAAGCCCTTAAAAAAGGAATGAAGGAATTGGAAGAACTGGAAGCAAATGTTGATCAGTCATTTGCAGTACTGGCTTCCCCTACTGATAAACTGGTATGTGATTTGTTTTTTAATAGTAGTATTTATTTTTTAAAATAATCCAATTTTATGTGTCATATAAAGCCCTATAGTTTATCCTTTTCAGTGCTGTAAGAAAGGGTGAAGATGAATACTGTGACATAAAAATGGCTGTGGTGAGTCACTTGAAGGGTCTGTCTATCTTTGTGTAGTTTCTCCAGCAGTGGCTAGAGGTAGATGCCTGGAAGGTCTAAGAACAGGACAAGGATGCATGGAAACCCAATCCAGACAGTTTTTCTGAGCTGGATATGGTTTTGGGCATGGATCCTAAGGTATGTATTGGCTGTAGGTGGCAAGGTGTTGGTAGTGGGAGAGCTGCAGGGGGGCCTCTATGAGAAAAGGCCAGGGCTGCTCTGTGCTGTGCACAGCTGGTTCCACCACAGGACACACCTGAGCCCATCAGCCACGTGCATGGCACCACTGCGAAAACATATTTAAAAATGGGCAAAACACTGCACAGCCGGGGGGAGGAAGTGTGAGAAACAGCCCATGGAAGAGACTATGCTGGAGCAGATATCCACACTGTGGGGGAGGAGGTAGAGGAGTTTGGAATGGAGTGAAATTGAGCCTGAGGAGAAAGGGCGGGGGGGAAGCCGTTTCAGTGTTTGTCTTTGTTTCTTGCCATCCAACTCTATTTTTAATGGCAATAAATTAAATACATTTTTGTCAAGTCTGTTTTGCTTATGAGAGTAGTTAGTAGATGATATCCCTGTCTTTATCTTCACCCACGAGCTCTTTCCATCTTTTTTCCCCTTGATCTGTTGAGGAGGGAGAGTAAATGAGTGGCTGAGTGGGAATCTGGCAGCCACCCAAGGTCCACCCACCACAAGCTACTAGGACTGTGTTTGCCATGCTTTATGGCTGTCTTGGAGAACTACTTGAAAATACTTTGTCATGTATCATATTTTTTTAGTAATCTTTATTTACTGTGACTCTTTCTCATATTTACTCTGAATCTTTTCTAGAACCAGATAACCTAATGTGAACTTTTATTAAATTACTTGGTTTTGGAAAGCAGTAGGACCCAGATGACTTGTTTTTCAGAGAGCTGTAGTTGTCTGTCATATACCAACTTACTGTCTTTTAAGGCTGGCTTACAGAGATGATACAAGTCAGTAAGAGGGCTTAATGCAAAGAGTTTCTGAGTGCATAGGAAAGGAGAGAAGTTAGGTGTCAGGTTTATGTGGATTTTGAGGGTCCTGATTGGCAGTATGATATGGGTATAAAAATTGAAATTATTCAAGATTTATACTGTACTACTTGCCCCTTTGTGGTGGGACGGGAAGATGGCTTTTCAGCACCAGGTAGAAATGATGGTTTGTAGGTAGAATTATTGGATTTCCAAGTTAGGCAAAATAACTGAGCTTTAATATTGGTATCACTAATGGTAAAAACCTACTTGCAGATTTATCGTCATGTTACAGAATGTTTCATACTACTTTGCCATTTCATTTCATAGCAATCACAATAGGATGCAGTTCTTCGTTTCTAAAACGTACTCAGGAATAACAGTTGCTTTTAATTAGGCTGTCATCTGTTATCCTTGAGCTATGCTGATGTATTTAGGATGTATCTTCTTTAAATTATACTTGAATGCCATCTCACCTTATTTAAATGATAGGATAATTACTATGTAAAAACACTTATGTTTACTTTTTAAGCAGAAATGAAGAGTGTAGGTATGCAAAATGTGTGATCCTTACTGTTTGTATTTATATTTGCTTTGAAGTTCTAGTTTGGGTCAGTGCCATTTGCCTAGGTGATAGTGTACATTCAGGGTCTGTCTCAGAAATCCCTCAGAAAAAGGGATCAGGTGGGAATAGCATTGAATGACTTATGCAGAATGATGTGCATCAGACCATTGAATGTATGTATACAAGGCAGCATCAGAGCTTAGCCACCCGACTTCCAGTGTAGTGGTCTACTGGACCACATTGCTTACACAGATAGTGATTGTTAGGTCCCTGTTTAAAGAACATAAATAACTGCCAGAACCAAATATACACTATGTACCAGATTTATTGGCTGTGTTTTTTGTCTGTCTCTATAGGGTTCTTTCAAGTTGTAATAGCCACTTAGTAGTAGCAGTAACTTATGAAGATCAGTTATCAGCTTTCTGGTGGAAATCACATGCAGCAACACTGTCTTTCTCTTGTCCAGAATAAGAGTACAGCTGCTTCATCTCAGCTTATCTGAGATTATCTGTTATAAGCTTACATTACCAGAATATGCTGTGTGAGTTCCAGCCAACTGCATTATTTATGCTGTTTGTCAGGTAAAATACATACATGGTGTGAGGTGCACGCACAACTTTAAAATCATAGTTACTGTAGATACTATTTGAGAATGTATGGGAAAATAGACAATCTGTATGAATACGGAAATGGCTCACGTAAAAAATATTTTTCCTTTGAACACAATGCAGGGAGAGTTAAAGGCTACAAACACTTCACAGAATGAAAAGAATGTAATTGTAAAGATGGCATCTTATAAAGAAGAACTTAATTCTGAGTTAGGTTCAGCAAAAAAGAAGTTAGGATTCAGTGAAGAGAGAACTGGCAAAATTTTGAAGGATATAAAGATATGCTGGAATTCTGGGGGCAGTTAAATGATTTAAAAATCACTTTTCAAGTAGAAACATTCTGAAATGTTTAAGTTCGTGTATATATGTCAATATATGTATTTCCATGTTTAAGTGCTACAAGTTTTAAAGTAAGCTGAGGAGGTAGGATCATCAAAGTTGGAGAATATATTGAGTCAAAGTAAGCAAACTACCGTGTCTTCAAGCATTCATTACAACAGACCTTTTCCTATGGATCTGGCTCATCCTAGTGTAAGGAAAAGTACAATATTTGGTTTAGAGTACAACTATCTGAGCAAGATGGTGACCATAAGCCTGAGATTAGAGAAGGGGAAAAATAACAATATTTGGGTACTTATGTTCTAGTATGGATTAGCTAAATGCCATTATACAGAACATCTTCAGAGAAACAGAAATGATGGCTGTTTGGCGTATGAGACAGAAAACCTGCTTCAGATTAAGCAGCTCTTTACTTAACCCTGAATAGCAAATGAGAGTTGGCTCAAATTGTTAACACTGAAGAGCCTTTGTGTAATAGCGAACATAACACAAACGCAACATTCTTAGAGGAGCAAAGAAAACTCCTACAGTTATTCTTGGGTTCAAATGTGGGAACAATGTGAAAATTAGGAAATGTACTAAAATGAAAGCTGGAGGAGCAGCTAAAAGGGTAAAGTACTTGCAGCTAGCACTAGGCTTAAAACAGGCTAGGACTTATCAGCCAAGATGGATGAGTAATAAAAAAGAATTAAGGTGACGGTTTAAAATGTGAGAGAGAACAGTTATTCAGTGTATCTTACAATGTAAGAGGTATGGAGGATGAAATGAAATTTGCATGGTGGCAGGTTTAAAATAAACTAAAAGAAGTCTCTTTTTCAAACAGTGCATCATTTAGACTCTTGGCCACAGTATCTAAGAAGTCAAGTAATTTTAAGATAAAATTGCTTAGATGAAGCTATTGAAGGAAAAAGTCAACCAAGAACTGTCAAACAAAGATTTTGACTGCATATGTGGCCTGGGATCTGTAGACCTTGGATTGCAGGGAGCTGGGCAGCCATTCTTGGGAAGGTACTACTTTGCAAGGACAAAGCAAAGCTTTGCTGTCTGGCAGCGTTCCTTTGCAGAAAGATTGTTCTAGTCCTGTTAAACCTTCCTCAGGATGATGACAGTAAAACAGAGAGGGAATCACAGAACCAGGGATCCAAAATCCCTGATTTGAAGAGAAGAGAGAAGTCGGGATGGAGGGTGGGGGCAGGAAGCAGCAAGAAGGGAAAACAGACCCTCTTAAAGCAGTGAGTTGGCCAGCTTGAGAGGGGGCTTTGAGAGGATTCAGTGCATGGGGCACTGAAGATTAAAAATGTGGAGAGAGTAAGGCAGTTAGACCTTCTGCACAAGTGGTGGAGGCATTAGAAGAGAAGCTGCAGCTTGACATGCTCAATATATGTTCTGGAGTCTCCCTTCTATCACAGAAGAGGCACAGCCTTTGCCATGAGCACACCTGTGCCTACTTTTCCCTTAGGAGTTTCTATATTAATGACATCAGTAAGCCCTGGAATTACAGCAAGTTTGCCTTAGGGTTCCTTAATCACTTGGTGATGGCAAGTCCTACCACACTGGATCCCTGAGGTTATAAGGATGAGGGTAAAGGTATTTTTAATGATGTGGTTCAGAGATGTTCCATTTGGATGTCAGCCTCCAGATGGAGTAACAGGTTTAGGGGCTAAAAGACAGGAAGAAGGTTTGTCTTCTTGACTTCTGGAGCAAGCAGTGGGGCTTCCTGGAGCAGTGGCTCTGCAACAGCAGCCTTCCTGTGGTGTCTATGGCACACCTGCTTGTTGAAAAGAGCATTAAGGTCATAGAAAAAGAACAATAACTTCAACAGGCCTTGGGAAGGGAAGAAAGCTCTTTATATAGAAATGTTGACTAAATGAGAGCCCTTGTAGCAAGGAGGCAGGGATTTATCTGCATACTCCATGGCACAGTGTTGACATTATTCAGATGTCTCTGCAGTTTGAAGGTGGAAGTCTAGCCTTGGCCTGGTCAGTGACCATGCCCTCACACTATGGGAAAGATGCTGGAACGGTTCTGTGGCCATTCAGATACCCAAGTGCTCAGGCTGGAAAATAGATAGTTATGTGCAAGGATCGCAAGAACTGGGGAAGATGGACACCTGTTCTGTCCATGCTAGCTGTGTTTCCCTGTTGGCCTCTGTCAGAGATGGTGGCTGGGTAGAAAGACTTCGGTCTGACCTAGTGTGTCTGTTTTTATGGAGTCAGAGTTTGAGAAATGGTCTGCAGTGTTGCTGATCAACAGAGACCCAAGTTTGTTGTTTGATGCTTGGAAAAATAAAAACATGGGTAGAGTACCCCTGTGGAAACAGGATGCCAAAAGGTAAAAGTATGGCCTTACCAAAATTTAGGCTATAGCACGTTGGTATGTATGGCTGCTGTGTGTCTCACATGATGGGACATGTGAATCCATGTTGCTCTTCCCTTCAGTGACTAGAAGTAGATGGTCAACAGTTTCTCCTGCATTGAAATGGCAGGCATAGGAAACGTCTGTAGACTTCTTAACCAACTTTTTTTTTCTGGTCCCCTGGGTCAGGAATTAAGCCTTAAGATAGTTCAGGAGATCTGTCCAGTTAGGAAAGCAACAGGTTTTAATTTGTATTTATTTGAAAGTAGGAAAATTATCTACACAGCTACAAGGAATACCATTGTTTCCTGATTGATACAAAAGTCAGCTCTGCAGAAATACATTTGCTTATTATACAGATTTTACTTTTTTTTTTTTTCTCCTATTGATGATATACTTGTCAAAAAGCCTGGTTAGCTGGCATATAAAATATACTAAACTGTTGAATCATTTTTACATAAAACCTGGGAATGATAATAGATATGACTACTAAATTTGAGCAGATCTTTTCAAATGCATGTTTTTCAGTTTGTAAAATCATATTTAAATTCCATTAAACAATTAATATATGTTATTTCATTGTAGGAAAAAGATAAAGTTATGTTTGACTTGATGACTCACAATATAAATCCAGAAACTCAAATTAAGCAATCACAAGAAGATATCTTGACTCAGGAATTGGATGCGATCAAGAGCTCTGAAGAGGAGGAAGACTTGAAAAAGCATTGCCAGCCAATGTTGGAAATTCATCAAACTCCTGATTCTCCAAAACACAATTTGAACATAGGCAAAGACTCTTCGAAAGACTTCCAAAATTTCATTGCAGGTATGGCTTCATGGGGCTCACCTGAGATTGTGAGAAAGCAAGATATAAGCACGGAACTTCAACCAGTGCTTCATCTGACACCCTTTTCGGAAGTTGAAAGCACAGATTTTGGAATGATGCACACCAGGTCATACATGCAAGAAGATAATTTTGTATTGCTGGGATATTCTAACCTGTATGAAAATGGCAGTGAGGAAGCAGCAGTGGGAGTAGATAGGAAATCTCCAGCTTTCTCTGAAAGTACCTACTCTGTGGATGATGACCAAGATATGGAGAAGATGATTTTAGTAAGTGATATTTCATGTCTGATTTAATTCTAATTAAACGAGACTGCTCAGCTCTGTTCCCCTCGGATCATTGTTGGGCCATTGGCTCCAAGTAGTAGAAACTTATACACCGAGAGCGGTAGGTCCACTAACGATCTGGACGTACAATTGTTAGTTCCTATTTCACTGTCGGATAGTGGAGCAAATTCTGGCCTGTATTAAAACACTGTTTACCACTGCTTCTGATAATTGAAAACAGTCTTCCAAAACATAAAATTAATCAATAAGCCACTTGCAGCAGGCTTTGCATCCTGCATATCTACACGCTGTTAATGTCGTGTCAGTAAAAAATATGAGTATTGCTCTTGTGCTCTCAGAATATTTGTTGAGAGGACTCTTCAAATCCTGGTACTTCTGCAGTGATGCTACATGGAAGTAACTGATAAATTTGTGATAATACTTCATGTGCAAGTAATTGAGCTAAAACCTGTAAAACTTTTTTGCTACGATGGTACTCAATTTATTGTAACAGTTCTCCACGTACGAATATCTGTCGTTGAGTGTTAGAAGAGACTGTCTCAAAATTGGAGAATAGGGCTTTTTCTTTTTAATGGAAATATTTTATATATTTGTGTCTGTATCATTTCACAGGATTATCTTCCTGTCTGTACTTCAGAAAATGGATCTTCGGTTGTATGTTTTTGTGCCTTGCTCTTGAAGGGCAATTCATTATCAATACATGTCTATTTCTTAAGACTATTGAAAGGGAGAAAAAAATGAGATAGAATGGGTTCCAAAGAGCACCAATGTTGCATTCATCGTGGTATTCGCTATCTATAACACTATGATCAAGTAGGCATTTGCTAAAATCTGCACTAGTAACAAAGTTGTTATAAACGCAGAAAACTCTACAGATGGATTCAGAAAACTAAATTAATGTGAAAAATTATTTCCAAGCAGATGAGAGAAGCTGATAATCTAACTTTAACCCCTTCTGATTCACAAGATGATGTAAGATCAAGAGCATCTGCCATAGATGCAATGAGCGATGCATATGGCAGCAGTAAGTTTAACTTTCTTTGTAGATTCCTTTTACCTTTTGTTAACTTCAGTATAGAAATATTATGTTTCCTCTTTCTCCCATTTTCTTTTACTGTAGATCTTTTATTTTAAAGCTATGCCTTTGTCAAGTGGTTAAAGACTTGTATTTGTGTCAGTGTATTTGTGGTAGTGGAAGTCTGCTTTTACCTTTTGATCTTTACATACTGAAAAGGAGGCGTGGGGTTCTAGTGAGTCCTGACTTAACTTTCTCTGGTGCTAAAGGCAACTTACAACCTTTTTACTTGTTTAAGTTAGTTGAGATCTCAACCAACTAACTTCATCCAACACTGCATTCATACTAGCAGCAGAAATCATGGTTATTTTGCAAGTGGTTATGCTGGTTTCAAGTTCTTTTCCCCTGTGTAACAATTGTGGGGGTGGGGGGCTGTCTCTTTCTTCAGATACCAGCTCAAATTTGGCAGCTAAACTAAAGCAGGAGCTACGAACATCAGACCACCTAGATACTAGTTTCATGGCTTATCTGCAGTATTGTGGAATGCTTCCAGATATTATGGAATCAATGAGAGAAAAGGAAATACTTTCACCACAGCTGAAGGTAATGTATGATTAATATAAACATACGAGAAAATCAAAACTGAAACAGTGAAAATGAAATGTTAATGTAAAATAGAATTAGCCGCTGCCTTTACACTGTAAACTGCTCTGTAATGGTTTAAACTTCAAGTTGATTGTGGGTTTTGAGTTGTTTTTGCATCTCGTGACACTTTTACTGACATTTGTCTTGCTTGTGCTTGTTAGAATTTAAAAAGTTTTTTGCTAGGACAGCACTGGTGATGTTCCAAAATGTGGTAGTACAAGGACTGACTGATCTGATTTATGGGTTTGTATTGGAGGCTTTACAGAAAGCTGTCTTGTAAGTAAGCATAGCTAGCTGACATCATGCTCCCCTGCCTATTCTTCCTATTCTTCTATGATGGAGAGCTGTGGGAACACCACTACAAAGTGTGGAGGAATCTTTTGAGTCAGTTCAAAGAGCATGAAGAATATACAGAAGACTGAGCAGTGATTGGTTACTCTAATCAGTAAGGCAAGTTTAAGAAAGTGTATGCCTGGGACTCTGGTGCTGCAAGTGAAAAAGCTCTCAGCCATTCCAGGAACTCCAGCTGATGAAAGGGATAAATTCAATGCTCCAAGTCATCTCATCTGTGAGGCTGGTGAGAAGTGGGTAAGTGCAGCAGGCTACAAGGAGTCTTCAAATACTTGAAGAAACTTGAGTAGTAAGAAACTAGAAGATTCACACTTCCTAGAAAGTGAATGCTGCCTCCTAAAATGTTTAGCAGATTATTTCAGCTTGCTCAGCAAAATGAAGGAAGATCTGTGCAATGAAGGAAGGCTGTGCAAGGGGAAGGTAAGCCTGAACTAAAACTCAAGCTGACGGACACAAGCAACTCACAACATGAAGGAGACTGGACCTTTATCTCTGCTTGGGGCAGGAGGAAGAACCTTCCCCCATCCTCTGATGTGCCCCGTCATAAGAGACATGATGCTCTGGGGATGGGGAATGAAGAGCACATAGAGTAACTGACATGATCCAGGAAAAGCCGACCATGCAAAGTTGATGCAACCACCCACTTGCATTAGATTCAGTGCCACCGTAAAAGCATGTAAAGTATTAGTAATTGGAGACTCCTTACTGAGAGGCACTGAAGCACCCATATGCCATCCAGACAATTTCCTTAGAGAAGTTTGCTGCCTACCAGGAGCTTGAATTTGTGACATCACTGAGAGCCTGGTGAACACTACATATTATCATCTGCTCCTGTTGTTCCATGTAGGGTCTAACAATACTGTAAAAAGGCAACTTGGAACCATCAAAAGAGACTCTATGTCCCTCGGATCAATGTTAAAAAGATTGGGAGTGCATTGGTATTCTCCTCTGTCCTCCCAGTCAGAGGAAGGGGTCCAGGACTGAGGACACAAATAGGTGAATGCCTGGCTATGTAGCTGGTGCTATACTCAAGGTTTTGGTTTCTATGATCATGGATCTACCTTTAAGAAGCTGGATCTGTTGGGAGCTGATGGGATTCACCTGACCAAGTGGGACAAGAGTATCTTCACCAATACGCTGGCCAAACCTATAAGGAGAGCTTTAAATTAGACTTAGTGGGAGATGGGGATGGAGTTTTGAGCAACAGAGAAGAGCCAGGGGTGGCTGATGTGTTAGGAACCAACAGGAAAACACCTATGAAATGCCTCAAAGGAACTGGGGCTTGTTCCTCCAAAAAGGTGACACAGTCAACAGCCCAAGTGAAGTGCCTCTGTACCAATGCACACAGCATGGGTAACAAACAGGAGGAGTTGGAAGTAACTGTGCAGCTAGAAAGCTATGATCTAATTGCTATCACTGAAACTTGGTGGGGCATCACTCCAATCATGTGATTTGTAATTGATGTCTATAAACTGTTCAGAAGAGAGCAGGCAAGGAAGAAGAGTCAGTGGGGTTTCTCTCTATGTACAAAAAAAAAAAAAAAAAAAAAAAGAGAGATACTGACTGTACAGAGCTCTCTTTGAAAAACAGAGTAGAGTCACAACCCCAAATTTTAGGAGAGCAACTTTCAGTTGTTTAAGGAATTTGTGGATGGGAGTCCCTGGGAAACTTCCCTTAGGGATAAAGGAGCAGAACAGAGCTGGCAGCTATTTAAGGACACCTTTCTTACAGCACCAGAGGTTTTGATTCCCATGTTTAAGAAATCAGGCAAGGAAGGCAAGAGGCAAGCATGGCTGAGTAAAGACCCCCTGGTCAAACTGAAGTGTAAGAAGGAAATACACAGGCAGTGGAACCAGGGGTATGTAACCTTGGAAGAATATAGGGACGCTACCTGGATGTGTAGGGATGGGATCAGGAAAGCTGAGGCACAGTCGGAGGGGAATTTGGCAAGGAATGCGAGGAAGAAAAATAAGAAGGGCTTGTACAAGTACATCGGACGGAAAAGGAAGATGAAAGAAAACACGTATCTACACGCACACATATGATAAATAAGACAGGAGAACTAGTGACAACTGACAAGGCTGAGGTACTCAATGACTTTTTTTGCCAAGTTTTCACTGGCAATCACTCTTCTCACATCTTAAGTCTCTGAACCTCAAGACAGGGACTGGAGGAACGAAGTCCTTCCCATCGTAAGAGAAGATAAGGTTCAAGACCACCTGAGGAACCTGGACATACACAAGTCCATGGGACCCAAAGAGATGGATCCCAGAGTCCTGAGGGAATTGGCAGATATAGTTGCTAAGCCACTCTCCGTCATTTTTGAAAAGTCATGGCAGTCGGATGAAGTCCCCAGTGACTGGAGAAAAGGGAAACATCACACCCGCTTTTTTTAAAAAGAGTAATAAGGAGGACCCTGGGAACTACTGACCTTTCAACGTCACCTCAGTGCCCAGTAAGATCATGAAACAGATCCTTCTGGAACTTATATTGAAGCATATTGAACACAGGAAGGTGAATAGATACAGCCAACATGGCTTCACCAAGGGGAAATCATGCCTGACTAATCAGGTGACCTTGTACAGTGGAGCAACTGTATCGGTGGACAAGGGGAAGAGCAAGTGATGTTATCTACCTGGGCTTCTGTAAGGCCTTTGATATGGTCCCCCACAACATTCTTGCCTCTGAATTGAAAAGATATGGATTTGATCAATGGACTGCTAGATGGATAAGGAATTGGCTGGATGGCCATGTCCAAAGAGTTACAGTCAACAGCTTGATGTCCAAGTGGAAACCAGTAATGAGGAATGTTCCTCAAGGGTCTGTACTGGGACCAAAACTATTTAATATCTTCATTAATGACATAGGCAGTGGGACTGAGTGCACCCTCAGCAAGTTTGTGGATAACACCAAGCTGAGTGGTGCAGTTGATTCACTTGAGGGGAAGGGATGCCATCCAGAGGGACCTGAACAGACTGGAGGAACGGGCCCATGTGAACTTCCTGAAGTTCAACAAGGCCAAGTGCAAGGTCCTGCACCTGGGTAGGGGCAATCCCCAATATCAGTAGACTGGAGGATGAATGGATTGAGAGCAGCCCTGCAGAGAAGAACTTGGGGATACCGGTGGATGAAAAATTGGACATGAGCCGGCACTGTGTGCTCACACACATAAAAAGAAGTGTGGCCAGCAGGTTGAGGGAGGTGATTCTCCCCCTCTACTCTGCTCTTGTGAGACCCCCACATCTAGCTCTGGGGTCCCCAGCACAAGACAGACATGGACCTGTTGGTGTGGGTCCAGAGGAGGGCCACAAAAATTATCAGAGGGCTGGAACATCTTTCCTGTGGAGAGAGGCTGAGAGAGTTGGGGTTGTTCAGCATGGGGAAGAGAAGGCTCTGGGGAGACTTTCTTGCGGCCTTTCAATATATATTATAAGAAAGATGGAGAGGGGCTTTTTACCAGGGTCTATAGTGACAGGAGAAGGAGCAACAGTTTTAAACTGAAAGAGGGTAGATTTAGATTGGACATAAGTAAGGAATTCTTTATGATGAGGGTGGTGAGACACTGGAACAGGTTGCCTAGAGAAGCTGTGCATGCTCCATCCCTGGAAGTGTTCAAGATTAGGTTGGACGAGGCTTTGAGCTACCTGATGTAATGAAAGATGTCGCCATGCCCGTGGCAAGGGGGGGTTGGACTAGATGATCTTTAAAGGTCCATTGCAACCCAAACCATTCTGTGATGCTGTATCTAAAAAATTTACAGTTCTCAAAGAGCATAATTTCATAGACTTCATGGAAGCGGTGAATTTTATTTTATCTTAAGAAACAGAGAATTTTTTTTTTATTTAGTTTCTTTTGTCAATCATCAATCTAGACTTTACTGGCTGTAAGATCTGAGTGCATATTCCAGTACTGAATGTTTAGTTTGAACACTTTTGTGTGCTTCTGTTCTTAATGTTTACTAAAGGTTTTCATCATTTAGCATTGGTTCTTGAAGTAATCACTATTTTGATTCTGGAGACAGAAAAGCAACTCAAGTTGGTTCAAAAGTGTTAAGTCATTCAAAAAAGTGCAAAGAAAGAATATAAAGAATTAAAGAAAAGTACTCTGTATTGTTGTTGTTAAAGTGAGTAGTAATGAGGAACAGCTCCATGTCAAGGCTGGGATATTTCTGATGAGATGTATGTAGAAAAAGACTTAAATCTCCAGTGACCTTCCTTCAAAAGAGACCAGGAAACATCTGTGCATGATGTAATAGTTTGTGAACAGGGAATTTATTTAAAAGAGATTATTTTTCCTCATAATGTCAGAGGTAACAATTTCCGCTGTGTAAATTATTAAGACTGATTATTTTGGGAGATGTTATTTGTACGTAATCTGCTAAATTAAGCCAAGGTTGTCTAAATATGTAATTCAGTTTTCTGGCATCAGTGGGGTTTAGTAACATGGCTTCAGACTTGACAGGTTTTAATTTATTTCCAGGAAAGTGAGCTAAATAGTTCAGAAACAACAATAATAAAGTACAGTCTTTTGGCTTAATTGCATATTAGTGTGTTGATGTACACAGCAATAAGATGCGCTGGCCGAGGCTGCCATTTGTACTTTTATGTTGTGAATACAGTATTTAAGAATACAGGGGCTACTGTATTCTTACATACTGACCTCAGTTGTTGGGAGATAAAAATTATCTGGTAACTGTTGCCTCACTTTATATATGTATGTGTGCATATGTGTATTCTTAGTTTATTAAGCATACCAAGTAGCAGGGCAGACCTGCGTGCCTTTATCTGTATCACAGCCTTGGACAGCCTTATTTTTGTTGTCTAGTTGTTGTGGTTTAACCCCAGCCAGCAACTAAGCACTATGCAGCCTTTTGCTCACTCCCCTCCGGTGGAATGGGGAAGAGAATCGGAAGGGTAAAAGGGAGAAAACTTGTGGGTTGAGATAAAGACTGTTTAAAGGGTAAAGCAAAAGCCGTGCACACAAGCAAAACAAAGCAAGGAATTCATTCACTCCTTCCCATCGGCAGGCAGGTGTTCAGCTATCTCCAGGAAAGCAGGGCTCCATCACGCGTAACAGTTACTTGGGAAGGCAAACACCATCATGCTGAACGTCTCCCCCCCTTCCTTCTTCTTCCCCCAGCTTATATACTGAGCATGATGTCATATGGTATGGAATAGCCCTTTGGCCAGTCTGGGTCAGCTGTGCTGGCAATGCTCCTTCCCAGCTTCTTGTGCACCTGGCAGACCATGGGAAGCTGAAAAGTCCTTGACTAGTGTAAGCACTACTTAGCAACAACTAAAACATCCATGTATTATCAACATGATTCTTATCCTAAATCCAGAACACAGCACTATACCAGCTACTAAGAAGAAAATTTACTCTATCCCAGCTGAAACCAGGACACTAGTGCTATCCCATCCTACTCTTACACTGTCAGGATGCTGATGCCTATTTCCTAACATTCTGCATGGTTGGTTTTTTTTTTTTTCCTTCTCAGACTGTGCTGAAGATGGTATGTGAGGAGAGCTGCAAAATACTGGCTTTGTCAGAACGTCCCTTTAGTTTTAGGGAGCTGAAAGATGTTCATCAGACCAGAGCGGTGATGGAGGGATGGCAGAAGGAGGGCTTAGCCTTGCTGGATGCTATACAGTCGCTGAAAGATTACCTTAGCAAGGTGGCAGATAGAGGAGACAAGGTATGACAATAAAAATATCCTTTAAAGCAAGGTAACCAGTTTTTTATATACATAGAAACGTATATTGTTATGTAATTAGTGTACATGCAGTATTAGTATGAGGAGCAAGGGACTCTTTCCTTTGAGATTTGAACACGCCTTTCTGAGATTTAAACACCTTTGGTCTGCTTAAATTAACAGATAGGTATACTCTTACACAGTAATGATATGAAAGACAGTGCGTTAGAGATTGAGAGAGATGCTTTTTTTTTTTTTTTTATTATTTTTTAACAGGAACATTCAGGTATTGCTGCTGACTGGAGAGGAGAACTTCTGCAAGCGGTACAGAGTGTGTTTGAGGAGGAGAGAAATGTGTTGCAAATTGACTTGAAGTCTCACTTCTCCAATCCTGGGTCTGGTGATGAAGGTTCATTAGTGGAAAAACTGGAGTATATCATGAAACAACAAGTAAGAAAACCTCTTAGTGTTATGCTCATGAATCACTTCCTCTATTCCCCTGTATTTTTTTATGGTTTTTACATTTTTATTACTTCCGTTGTTAAATCTTAACTTGTGCATTAATCCGGATTGTGTGGGATCAGTAGGCTTTCATAGTCTATGACTTCATACCATTTTTCTCAAACTCTGTATATGGTGTTACAAAACCTATTATTTTAGCTGGCATCCAGAAAGATTGTGATAGTGAGAAGGAAATATTTGATGAAAAGGGACAAGGGGAAGGATTCCATCTAGAGCTTTACAGACTTCTCTTGCAAAGGGTATACATTGAGCTAACTCTGTATCTCTGTTTGGGAGTTTTTTGCTGATACTATCTAGTTTTTAGGTTCAGACCGGATGGTTTGTAGTAACTATTATGTATAAACTATTATTAGTAACTCTTATTCTATTTGGAAGCTCGGGAAGTGGGGTTTTTCTTTGTTACTTAATGTTAACATTTTGCATTAATATGAAGCATGAATTTAGTTATTTGAAGTTGCCTCTCTATAAAATCTGTACTGCAAGGGTTTCTCTAGGGTTTATCCTTGTAGAAAATATGGGAATAGTCTTGTAGATTTAATAGGACTTGGTTCATTTTCAGGAGGAACAGAGGCAGATGGTTGTAGAGCACCTTTTCTCCTCAGACCGGAATAGCTTGCTCTCTGAAATACAGGACCTCCGAGCTCAGCTACGCATTACGCATCTTCAGAATCAGGAGAAGCTACAGCAGTTGCAGGAAACCCTTACCAATGCAGAAGATCATGGGAGCAAACAAGAACACCACCTTCGGAAGAAAGGTAATAATCGCCAAGTTCTTGTTATCTGGTCTTCTATGTCAGTTCTTTCCTTTTTTGCCTAGAAGATAAAAGGAAAAAAAGATTATTTTGCAAAGAAGCAGCTGCTGTACAATTCTTCAGTTTTACTAATGCACTCAGGTTTCCTGGGATTTTAGCAGAGGAAAGAATTCTTCTTTCTAATATTAGTAGTTAAGAAAAATATGTGAAAAGCAAAGAGAAGATTTAAAATAACCCAAAACAATAGAACTGAAGGATGACTGTTAAATAGTGTATACATGTAGAAAACCCATCAAGGATAGTAAAATACCCTTGTTGGTTTTCAGGAAATTCTTATTATGTATGTTTGCTAGTAAATGGATGGGTTTGCTTCGTGAGGTTTAGAATCCATTAGTAACAGGTTAATGACAGTATACCACAGTAGCTCTTGTAGTCTCACCCAGCTTTCATGTTCTTCTTGCTTTGTCTGGTTCACTAGCAGCAGAGCTGTAGTATGCATGTGCATCTTTCTGCTGATTCATATCATGTTTGAAAAGAAATAAATTCTGCAGACAAGAATACTTCGATATAGCTGATTTGTTTGTTTGCTTGTCATCCCTCCCCCCCC